AGGGCTTGGCTTTCTGGGGCCGTTCCTGAAGAAAGGACTGGGTCCATGCCTGACAGAGGGCCTGTTGCTGGGGTGCATAGCCAGCATCCTTCCTGCTCCTTCTCACAAGAGCCAGTGACCCCCAGCATTTGCCCGGTGGCACCGCATTCAGGATGGCTCTCCCATCCTGGCCCTTTCCGCAGAGTGAAGGGCCCCCCTCAGAATGATGGCCATTGCCTGCTGGGCTCCAGAAGCCAGGGATATTTGGTAGTGAAATAGCATGGGAGCCCCACAGTCAGGAGACCCGGAGAGCAGTGCCCCAGAGTTGGGGAGGTGCCAGTCATGGGAATCAGTCCACATCGGGGCCTGCCTGCCCGGTCCCCTTCCTGATGTTTGGTTATGGGGTAGGTGAATCTCCTTTCTGCCTAGACTCATGCCTGTGGGGTCCAACATTCCCAGCCAAATTGGCCTGGTTCACACGAAAGAACCAGGGCCAGAGAACTGCCTGCCTTGTTTCAGCCTCAGGAAACACTGGGTGTCAGCTAATATTAAGTAGTGGCTCGCTCTATCCACCCACTCCTGCTCTCCCTACACGCTGTGTCCGACTGAGCTGTTTTCCTCCCGAGGAGGATGATATCACACATAACTATTTCAATACGTCCGTAAGAGTCTAATACAAATTCAGTCACATACAAAACTAAACAGAAAAAGACTGAAACGAGGCCTGACTTGAAGCTGGGGTCAGTGTGGACATATCGGGGGAAATAACTGGCCCCTGCCCGAATGAAGCAACTGCACGGGGCTGTTTGCTACCTCTTTGCTGGCTTCCGTGTGTAATGAGAGCCAGTACCACTAGAATTTGTTTTGCAAATTAAAAAATAAACCCCTTAGCCCTCCATCTAGTGGTGCTGTCCTTATTTTATGGGCCAGGAACCGACACATACACACACACTCCACACACACACACAGTGATGATGAAGTACTGAACTGTGACTTCACCTGTGATGATTTCAAGTTCATTTGCAAATGACCCTCATGAGTGAGACGCATCTGCAGTATCAGTGTTTTGCCAACACAGCCCTTTTGCCCGCCCTCACCCACTCCGGGACACGCTTGGCCATGTGACCCAGCTTCCCGGCCACTGACCCTGCCCCAAGAAGCACCTTCCTGGACCTACTGCCTCTTCTTTGGTGTGACTTCCCTGAATCAAAAACTATGAATATTTTCCATGGTTTGAACTACCCCCAGGTTCAAGGGTGGAGCTGCAACACCCACGGCAGAGGAGTGGGCAGACGCATGGACAGCCTGCACCCCAGCGCCCCCAAACTAGTCAGATCACGCTTTTGTGCAATGCTCAGTATGCGGAAACACATCCATTGCCAAGTCAGGAGTTCTGTGTTTGTTTTTAAGAGCAGCAAACAGGAATCCTGCAGCTCTTTGCAACAGTTCTTTTCCGCACTGGGATTGAGCAGGAATCCAGGGTAGAGAAAGGAAGTCTGGGTTTTCCTGGACACCGTTTTCCAGTGTTGACACTGCCTTGCTGTTCCGATGTATCTCAGCCCAGCTTCCTCTTAGCTTTCTGAAGAATTCTGCCACAACAACCCTTTCCTTGGAGCCCTGCACCTGCACATGGCCAGCCTGTTCCACTGGCCGGGAGAAGGAGCTGGGGCATCCCTGTCCCTCTTCTAGTGCCCAAGTGAAACCTTGCCAGGCTGTCTCTAGAACGGTGTTTCTGGCACGAGTGAGCCCCATGATTGCAGAAGTACACTGATGCAGCTCTCCTCTCCTCCACCTTTCTGGGAGGCCACTTCTCTTTCCACTTGATTTCCTCCCAAAGGGTTGGCAACAACATGGGCAAAAGTGGCAGTGCCACTTCAGGTGGGCCTCGGTTTCCTCATCTCTAAACCAAAGCAGCTACACCAGGCTACCCCAAGGCCTGTCCCAGCACTAAGAAAATGACTCTAGAGAGAAGAGCCCTGCATCAAATCCGTGAAGCAACTGCCGTGCACCAGAATATTCCACACAGCTCTGGCCAGATGGGAAAGGGGCGCTGGGGCTGGGCACAGTCACAGAAGCTGAACAATACAAGAGATAGTAAAGGGGCTGGCTCCTCAGGGGTACATGGGTCATGAGAGCCCAGGGGTCACTTGTCTTTGCGAAGGACCCTATTGTGGTTTAGATGGAAAGTGTCCCCCAAAGGCCCCTGTGATCAGAAGTGGGACCTTCAGAAGTTGGTCGGATCATGAGTGCTTGATTTCATGGGTGGATTCATCTATCAATGGATCCATAACTTGGAAAACTTAGGAAGTGGGGCCTAGATAAAGGGAGCGAGTCATGGAAATGTGACCTTGGGGAAAATACCTGTCCCCTGCTGCCAGATCCGCTGGCCTCTCTGCCTCCTTGCGACCAGGAGATGAGCGTCCTTCCTGGCTATGGGCTCCTCCATGCTGTCCTGCTTCATCACTGAAGCAAAACAATGGAGACAGCTGACCGTGGCCTGAAACCACCGAAGCCATGAGCCAAATAGACCTATCTTCCTTTAAACTGACTTCTTTGGGTATTTTTTATAACAACAGGATACAGGCCGGCCTGCTCTTCTCCCTGCAGCACCTTGTCAGGGAGAGCAGAGGGCACATGCTGGGCCTCTCATGGAAACAGAGGAGGCTAACGGACACCAGCTGCAGAGCCTTCAAATTCATCTCCACATTGTCAAGGTTTGTGTGTTTTCTCTGCTTTAAAATGCTTTCTGCCCTCCTGGAAACACCATGAGGATCATCGTGGGAAGCTGCCATGTATGGAAAACCTGCCGTGTGGGAACATAGCCCAAAGCAGAGGCCTCTGCTTACAGGCCAGTTTCTGGGTTCATCTTGGCCCTGGCTGTGTGTGCACATCTATTCCTGCTCCAAATGTGCAGAACCCTCCATGCGTCACTCCCTTGGTGCCACTGCTGTCCGCACATAGCCCACACTGAAGTAGAAAGGGGGTGAGGGCTGGGTGTTTCTGTCTTTATTGCAACAGACTCAAACAGGCATGCAACACCCTCTGCAGAGCCACGGTGCACAGCCCCAGGCCTGCCAGGGGCCTTGTCCCAGGCAGACAGCTCTCCAGCTCCCACTGCCTCCCAACTGGCCTCCCCCTGGGGCTGGGGAAGCTAGACTGAACCCTCCCAGAAGCCCTCGCTCTTGGGCTCCTCCATGACTTCATACCTTATGACATCCCACCACTACAGGACCACCTGCTCCTGAAAGTCCGCCCACTCACGCCAGGCTACCTCCAAGCTGCCAGCTTCCCTGCAAAGTGGGTCCTCCCCAGAGCAGCTCACCTGTGTCCTGCTAACCATGTCTGCTCCCCAATGTCACTTCCCTAGTTGTGTCTTATTTCATATTCCTGACATGAACTGAGCCCTGGGTATATCCGAGCCCTGGTTATGTCCGAGCCCTGGATATAGCCAAGCCCTGGGAATATCTGAGCCCTGGGTATATCCAAGCTCTAGGTATATCTGAGCCCTAGGTATATCCAAACCCTGGGTATGTCCAAGCCCTGGGTATAACCGAGCCCTGGGTATGTTCGAGCCCTGGGTATATCCGAACCCTGGGTATGTTCGAGCCCTGGGTATATCCAAGCCCTAGGTATATCCGAATCCTGGGTATGTCTGAGCCCTGGGTATAACCGAGCCCTGGGTATATCCGAGCCCTGGGTATATCTGAGCCCTAGGTATATCCAGGACTCTAAAACCGGGAGTGTGTTTTATCATTTCATCTTCCCAGTAGATGAAAGGGAAGTAGGCCACAGGGTCAGGTTCCTGATTATGTAGATCAGTCACCTAGCTTTTTAGACAAGATTCAAATCAAAGTTACCGAGCAAGCCAGGGAGGATGGCTGCCTGTAACTGGGTAGGGCTGTCACCCACCAGGACACTCAGCCCCACAAGGGCATGGCCGGGTTACCGGCAGCCCTGCAAAGGCTCAGCTTCCCAGGCAGCAGCATGAGGAAGCCCAGCCTCTGAGCTCAGGAGAGGGACCCAGATGAAGGCCCTGGGTTCTGCAAATCCCTAGAGCGGGCCTGTGGGGTCACTGTGTCAAGCCTCCCAGCACCCGTGGGCACATGGCAGGATGACTAAGAACAGCAGGAGCAGGGGCAGTCGCCCCCTCACCTGTGCACCAGCGACTGCTGGGGCCAGCAGGCGAAAGAGCCTTACTCCTGTCTGCGTCCCTGTACACTGACCTCCAGACCCCCACAGGACACCACAGTACCTGCGACTCTGCTCAGCATGTTAGTACCCTCTGGGGAGCACTCAGAGGATTCTTCCAGGATGTATTTCCAAAGAGGTCATATAGGTCATGGACATCCCGCCCTGGGAGACCAGGTCCTCAAAGGGCTGCTCCATGACAGCCCTGCTGTGGCCTCCTGCAGGTGACCCCCAGTGACCACACCGGTGCCACCTCTTCCTTTTGCTCATGATCATGGAATACGTAAGCCAAATTGTATAAAAGCCAAGCTGGGCATGTTCGGATGCAAAGTAGATCTCCTGTCAGGAAAACAGAGGCTCCTTTAAAAACTGGGCAGGTGGGGAATCCTCCCATAACAAAAGGAGCATTCTTTTGGGGAAGATAAGCAGCAATTGTTCTGTCCATTTTTCCTTCTGCAGTGCTGGGTTTCAGGCCCAGGGCCTCGCACATGCTGGGCAAGCGTGCTGTGCTGAGCTGCACCCCAGCCCAACAGTGGATAAAACCCCACATAGCCAGGGTGTCCGGAATTCTCCATCCACTGGAGAATCCAGATGGAGAGGCAAACAGGCCAATCCAAGGTTTCTCAAACCTAGCAAAGTGTTGTTAGAGTCCAAAGAATTGTTCCTTTGGCAGATCCAGTCCCCAACACAAGGTCTACACGGGATCCTATCGGCAACATCTCTACGACTCAGAGGAGCTTTGCTCTGTTCTGAGCATTCTGCAGCTCCTTTACCTGCTATGTTTGTATGTGTCCCTCAGTGACTGGGGTGTGGTACGCAGGACTCTCTCCTACCTGCACCCTTTTGGAAGTTCTGCTGGCCTCGGAGGATGAGCTGGACTGTGCCTGTCCAGGGGCAGGAAACCGCGTTACGGCCAGAGTCTAAATTACAGACAATAAAAACAAGCATGAACAACCAAGAAATGCCACCAGGAAGGACACACAGAAACAGCATACAGACAGCCCCGTAGCTCTTAAAGACAGGCTGGCCATGCCCCAGGACGTCCTCAGAGGAAAGCGTTCTGCCCAGATGGCTCTGCAGGTGAATTCTGTCAGTTAAAGAGGAACGCTCTGGAAAACGGTAGAAGAGGAAACGGTTCCCAGCTCATTCATGAAGTCTGTGTAATCACAATTCTCAAGTCCATTGGAGACATTAAAAGCAAGAGAAATTACAGACTGGTCTCTTTTATGAGCATAAAACCAGGATAACACATTGCAGCCAAACTGAACTCATTCCAGGAATGCAAAGTCAGCTAAATGGCGACCAATCAGAAATCGAAATACCTTGTCACCTTAATAAGATAAGGGATTTTTAAATCATATGTAGGCTTCTCAACAAATGCAGAAAGTGTAGGATGGAAGTCCACCTATCTGTGGCTTTTTAGATATGTTAGAAAACCTGGGACAGAACGAGCTCTCCCTCTGGCTCCGAGGGACCCAAACACCTGAGTTAGTGGTCAGGGTTCTGAGTTTCCTGGGCACTGAGATTCGGATCTCAGTGGAGCTGACCAGGGGCCAGAGATGCTGGAGAGCAGGAAAAGAAAGGTGAAAAAAAATCTGGGAAAGGAGAAAATAAAACAATCAATCTTACGAATAAAATGATTTTCTAGGGTGAAAATACAAAAGACCTAAGAAAATAATAAAAATTTAAAAAATATATATAGCAAGTTTTCTGGACAGAGATAAGACTCAAATCGAAGCCTGCCTCAGCAGGCTCAGTGGTAAATGAGTGACAGAGATAAGAGTTTTGTCAAACACCAGGAAGCACATTTTGCAGGCCTCTTGATATGTACATGCCTGAAAACGTCACTATAAAAATGTCACGCAGTGCTGTCACATGGAACTTGCAGGTCCTCTGAGAGCCCGTGTGTGGAGCGCTTGGTCTCCAGCACTGCACTGCTGGGAGATTGTGGGGCCTTACAGAGGCAGGGCCTCACGGGAGCAGTGGCCTCCCTGGGGGTGGCCCTGAAGGAGAGGCTGGGACTCTGCCCTCCCTCCCTTTCTTTGCATCCGGGCTCTCTGCGGGAACGGTTCCTCCACCGCCTGCTCCTGCCTGCTGTGTTCTTCACCACAGGCCAAAAGGCAACAGGGAGACTGAAGATTCCAAAACCGTGGGTCAAGGTGAACTTTTCCTTTCTTTTTCTATCATCTCAGGTGTATGTTACAGCAGTGGAAAGCTGGCTAGCACACACAGATGTAATAAAATCGTATTTTTAAAGAAGAAATAATCCTGGGCATATAATTCTTCCTGTGAGCTACCAGGGGCTCCAGAAGGAGAACACCGTGTCCCTGGGAGGCCACTGCACTCTGATTCGGGACGCTCAGTCTCCAGGCCTTGGTGAAAAGCCTCTGCCCATTTCGTCTGTCTGTCTGGTCCCCACCAGACCATGGCAGAAATCAGCACCAGTCTGTGCAGTTCGCATACCTTCTCCGGGCTTTGCTCTGCAGACGCCTGCGTGTCCTGGAGAAACAGCTGAGCCAGAAACAGCGGCTGGCGACAGTCACCTGAGCTGGAGAGTTATTTTCTTCTCTCTGGGTCCAATTCTTCTAGTCAGGTGGTGAAACAGTCTGTGGAGGAGGAGGAGGAGTTCTGCACAGTGAAAAATTCCATCCACACAGTGGAAAAGCCACGTGTTTTCAAGGACACAGCGTGAGAGACGGAAGAGCCGGCCTGGCCTGAAAGAGCTGGCACGGTGGACAGACAGGCCCCTCGCTGCAGGCCACACGCAGGTCAGCCTCCGGCCTCCCTGGCAGGAACTCCCTGGCAGCCTGGTGTCCCGGAAGTAGGTCCAGCCCTGGGGTGAAGGTCATGGAGCAGAGTGGATGAAGAAGACGTGGAGAAGCCCACTCAGCCCTTCTGAGAAGGGACTTGGGGTCCCAGACCCAAGGATCGCAGGGGCTTATAGAGACCGGCTATGGGCTCACAGGACAAAGCCCAGATTTGTTCACTGTGAGCTCACATTACATCCAGGCACTGGACAGGAACTGAAAAAGAAATGTTTAATTTTTTCCTCCGCCTTAGGGAAAATCAGCTTTCGTGGCAGTGACTGGGACCTAAGGTACGGAAAGGACCCCTTGCTGAAGGAGGAAGGGCATCACCGCCCTCTTACAGCAGACCCTGAGTGATGACCCCCACGTACGCATACGTAGCTACCGTGTTAACAAGGGGCAGCTGTGACTCTAAAAGACAGAGGCGAGGTCGTGGAGCAATGGAAACCCTCACCCACTCCTGAGGAGGGTGCAAAATGGCACAGCTACCATGGACGGCAGTTGGGTTGGCCTTCTAGGTTTTGTTTTGGTTTTGGGTAATGGGAATTAAACTCAGTACCTTGCATTTCCAAGCAAGTGCTGTGCCACTGAGCTACAGTCCTGGTCCTGGATAAGTTTCTAATGTCAAGTATGAATTCACTATGTGATCTGGAAATTTCACGCCTAGGAATCTGCCCTATAGAAATAAACATATTTATACATGCAAAGATTTAGATGGCAATGTTCATAGTAACATTATTTATACTGTTATTCCTAACACCCAAAAGGTGGAAAGCATGCAAACATCCATCATCTGATGAAGGAAGGAAGGAAGGAAGGAAGGAAGGAAGGAAGGAAGGAAGGAAGGAAGGAAAGAAGGAATTGGGATAGCCATGCAATGGAATATTACTCAGCAATGAAAAGAAACAAAGCTACTGACAGATGCTGCAAGACGAATTTCAAAAACATGATACTGGGTGAAAGACGCCAGGTGGAAAAAACCACTGACTGTACAATTCCATTCATAGGAAACGCATGCAAAGGGCAGGTCCATAGAGACAGAAAGCAGACCTGGTGAGGCAAAGCAACATCAGGCTTTGAGGCAAACGGACACAAGTTATGATTTGGGAAGGAAGAGTATGTTCTAAAGCTGGACTGCAGTGGTGGCTGCCTGGCTTTCAGTAAGATCTACTGAGTGCTATGATTAAAATGAGTGAGGTTTAGTATGTAAATTATAGCTTAATAAAATTGTGTTAGCCAGGCATAGTGGCACACAACTGTAATCTCTGTGCTGGGGAGGCTGAGGCAGGAAAATTGCCTCGAGTCTGAGGCCATCCTGGGCTATATAAGTGAGTGTCAAGGCCAGCTTAGAGTACAGAGTAAGGGTCTGCCTCAAAAAGCAAAATAAATAAATAAAATTATCTTTTAAAAAATCTTAAGTTTATTGATACATGTTATGGATTAAGAACTGGTGGTCAACTTAATGCCAGCTGGATTACATCAGCATGGCGCTGAGCATAGATGTCCCACCTGAGGAAAGTTGCCAGCATAAATAGAGATGTGGAGAAAGAGAAGTTATTGAGTTGAGGTTATGGAGGCATTGCAGGTTCTCCTACAAGTTGCTGTTTGAGCCGTTGGTTCTCCTGGAGAAACTCTGGTCCTCACATCGAGCATTGCTTCCTGGCTCTGAAGGGGAAGACATGTGCTACTTGGTCTCCAGGATGAACTCGTCATGGAGGCCTCCTGGCACATACCCGACTGTGCTTGTCGCTGTCGCCGGAGGAGCTCCGGGCCTCCATGTCACTGAGGAGAGCTGTGGTGCTTTTCAGCACAGCCCTGGTCCTTGTTGTGTGACTTCTCGGCTCCAGTGCAGAACCCTCATCCCACCAGCACAGCTCCTTCACCCTGCTGGCATGGACTTTCTGGCTTCCACCGCTGACCCTTGGGTCTTCCCGGCACAAATCCGTAAAAGAGACTGGTGTGAGTCCTTCTTGTGGGCTCTGGACTTCCAGTTGGACTCGTGGGAAGCATTGACCTGAGCTCTGGGTCTTCATCTGGACTCATGTGGGACATGGCTGTGGGATTCAGGCCCTTAGTTAAATGTTCTATGTCTTTAGTGTTGTGGATAGATTTCCTTGTGTAACTCTGGGTGACCATCATAAAAATATTATAAACTCCATGCCTGATTCTAATTGTTCTCCTCCCAACCCCTGACTACAATGGTACAATATTGGTAAACATAATGATCACATTCTCCATACGGAGTTTGTAACTGTGCATGATATACCCTGGTTTCTCTTGCTTCCAATCCCCTCCCCTCCCTTCAACCTCTCTTCTCTTCCTTCTTTAAAAATATTTGTTCCATTTTTTTCTTTCTTTTATCTTTTTCTTTTCCCTTTCTTTCTCCCTCCCCACATCCTATTTTCCCTGTATTTTGAACAATATTTTCTTTGGTCCTTATTTACACTTTCAGTGTCTCACATCAGCGAATCAGTGAGATATTTACACTTGCATATATAATTTATTCAATTAAGAATATTCTCAAGGTGCACTGATGACCTAGAAACGTCTCAAGTGTATCCTTTTTATGGCTGAGTGGTACTCCATTATATTCAAACAATCTTATTTATCCATTCATCTGCTGATGCCCATTTGGGTTGTTTCCAAAATTTAGTTAGTACAAACTTGCTGCTATAAAACATGGGTGTGCATATATCACCATAGCATGATATTTTTAGTTCTTCCAGGCAAATACCCAGAAGGGTCAAAGGGTACTTCCACTTCTAGTTTTTTGAGGAAACTACACACTGATTTTCTACAGTGGTTGCACCAGTCTACACTCCCACCAGCCCCGGAAACCCCTGAAGTCTTTGTTGTTGGTTGATTTCTCAATAATAACCATTGTTTCTGGAGTGAAATGGAATCTCAGTGTCGTTTTAATTTGTATTTCCTGAGTGACGGGAGAAGCTGAACACTTCTTCATAGCTTTATTTGCTGTTGGTATTTCTTCCTCTGGGAAGTGTGTGTTCATCTCAGATGATCATTTTTGGATTGGGTCTTGAATTTGGGGGATGTGATTTTTGTTAGTCCTTTGTCTGAGGGACAACTGACTAAAATTTTTTCCACTCTGTGGGTTTTCTTTTCACTTTAATGGTAATTTCTTTTGCTGTGCAAAAACTTTTCACAGGATGACATCCCCGCTGTTGATTCTCTGCAGTTTTTCCCAGCAATCGGAGATTGAGCATGAAGTTTGCCTGTACCTATGTCTTCAAGAGTTCTACCTACTGTATCTTCTAGCAGATTTAGTGTTTCCATTTTAATATTTAGATCTCTAATCCATTTTTATTTTAGTTCAGTGCATGGTAATAGACATGGGTCTAGTTTTACTCTTTGGCATGTAAAGAACCAGTTTTTCCAGGACCCTTTATTAAAGAGGCTATCTTTCTTCCAGTGAGCATGTTTAGCCCCTTTACCAAAGACAAGGTGGCTGAGTGTGTTTGGAATTGTTTCTGCATCTTCTAACCTGTTCCACTGATTCTCAGGTCTGTTTTTTGGGCAGTACTCTGTTGTTTTTATCACAATAGCTTTGTAGTATAGTTTCAAGTCAGGAATTGTAGAGACCCCTGCCTGGCCTTTTTGGCCTAATTTTTCTTTGTTTCATTTTGTTGGTGGTGGGTTTTTTTTTTTTTTTTCTATTCTAAGTCTCCTCTGATTCAAATGAAATTTTGGAATGTGTTCTCTAGTTCTGTGAGGTATGCTAATAGCATTTGGATTGGAATTGCATTAAATCTGATTAACAATTTTGAAAGTCAGGGCATTTTCACTATGTTGGTCTTCCTACCCCCAAGCAAGGGATATCTTTCCATTTTCTGATCTCCTCTATGACCTCCTTCTTCAGAGGACTATAAATTTTAATGTACAGCTTTTTTACTTCCTTTGTTGGATTGATTCCTACACACTTCATTTTTTGTTGCTATTGCACAAGTCCTCGCTGCCCTAATTTCTCTCTCAGTGCATTTGTTGTGCACAGGAGACCTTTTTTTTTTTTTTTTTAAATAGCTGTAGCCATTTGTTTTTTTTCAATTCTGCTACTATCATTTCTGAAAATTCTAGTGGTTGGCTTCCAATTTCCTCTCTCATTGTGCTCTGGACTTGTCCGGGGGGTCCTGGAGGTCTGGGATTGCATTTTGCTTTTGCATCTTAACATTTTCTACTATTTTTTTTTTCTGTGTTGGTGCTTGTAGATTCTTTTTTTTTTTTTTTTTTTTTTTTTTTTTTTTTTGAGACAGGGTCTCTCTATGCAATTCAGGTTGGCCTTGAGCTCATTTTGTACCAAGCCTGGTCTCAAACTCACAACGATCCTTCTGCCTTAGCCTCCCGAGTGCTGGGATTACAGACGTGAGCCACCACGCTCGGCTAGTGCTTGTAGATTTCTTGTGGTAGGTAGCTTTACCACTAGTATTGAGGCTTCCCTAGGAAATGTCTTTTCCTCAGTGATGTCTTCTAGGTGTAGGAAGTTCTTAGCTTTTGTGTTGATCTCAAGATCCTACCTTCCTAATTTATTAAGGATGAGAAGTTGCTATCTATCTGGCTCAGCACTGTGTCCTTTGGTACTGGACTATGAGAGTGGTTACTACCCCAGTCAATCACAGTGTTGTCATAGAGAGAAAAACTGATTACAGCAGGTGTGACATCCTGGCTAAACGGGTGCAATCAGCAGTAACAACAGCACCAAGCACAGCCTACCAGCTGACAAGCTGCAGGAACTAATAATTTGGTAACTTCAACCATAGAAGCAAGCTCTGCATTTATATAACGAAACCCAACATTTTGTATGCAGTGAGTTTCCCCATGGTGGACTGCCCTCACCCTGTTTGGGTGGCATTTATAGGTACAGGGGACAAAACTGAGGGATGACTAAAGAGATACACAAGGTGATAGACTAAGGGTGATCACCTGAGACTGGGGAGCCTGGAGAAGAGTGCAGAGAGGAAGAGTGAAGGAGAAGCAAAGAACACGGACTTGAGTCAGGAGGACGAGAGACAGTGTTCACTCACAGGGAAGGTTCAGAAATTCTAGAGACACTTGAGGGAACAGAGAAAGAAGACGAATAGAATAAAAAAGAAAAAAACAAAAAAGGTGAGAAACCTAAAGAGTCAAAAGAAAGGGGGGAAAGCCCAAATCAGCCTGAATAAAGAAAACC